GTACAACACTATTTACTGAGTACAATTCTAATCAGATAAAAAGATCCCAAGACTTCTACAAGGCCGCCTACCACAGTTATGCTTGGACTATTCAGGAAGAAGAAATGTTTCCTCGTTTCAGACATGGCTTCTTATTGAAAGTGCACCAGGTTCATTCCAGTAAAAAGACATAATTTGAACGCGATTTTGTAAATAAAGGAATGTTTCAGATATGTGTCTTACAGAGAAATAAGCTTCTCACGTACCTTAGCAACTGTATTCTTTAAAAAAAATCATTATCTATTTTTAGGATGAGTTGTGCTTTTTAGGGATTATTATTGTGCATCTTTTAAGATTTTACTCTACTTAAAATTCTCATTCTAATATTATGTTATCGACCCATTCTATGAAAAATGCATCAATGATGAAGCAAATAAGAAGACCATGCAACCAAGGGAACAAGAATGTAGCAGATTGGCAGCTTTCTGTTTTAGCCAGCTTATTATTTCCTTTATGTTTCCTATTATAATAGGGACTATTGTAATGACTATATAAGAGACCTTAGTATTGAAGAAAAAAAAGTTTTTTATTTATTTTTGAGACACAAAAGAAGTTAATGAAACAGTTTCTGTTTTAGCATAGAGGGGAAGATTCACAAAAAAAACAGGCAAACTACCACACCTCACTGTGGAAAGGATTTGAAAAGGTAGCTACCTGTCCGTGCACATCACTTGCCAAACCAGTAGTCAGAGGTTCTGTTTTTATCACCACATCAGCAACATGTTCCATTTGCAAAAACAATACTGGCTTATCCATGCTAAGATAGATGTCCTCATGATTCAGGGTCACGAGTGAACAGCCCTGCATCAACAAAAATACTAAACATTGGCTTCGCAACAAAGCGGCAGATTTAGAATAAACAAGGTGTAAATTAATGAATGTTACTTACATATTCTGTTGTCAATGTGTAGCAATAATGCAGAAAATCTGATACGTGATTTGACGATCCATTCACAGCCACTTCAATCTGAGATACATCATCAATCATAACTGTTATGTTTCGCGAGCCTTCCGGCATATAAGAAGCTTCCACTGCTTTCTGAAGTTTTCCATATATAGCAAGTAGTCCATTTTCTACAGTTTCCCCTCCATCTGTCTAACCAAATTAAAGATGACTTACATTGATGAATAATAAATTTCCGCAGCAATTTTTTTAATGCCAATTTTCAAATAAAAAAAATATCCTAAAACCACTATTATAACTGATATGACGGTTCTTTTAAATGACACAGTTTAGGTCTTGGAAACTTTCAAAAAAGCAAATACGGGTTCCTATTGTCCAACTTCAATTGAAAGAAATTGAAAAAAAAATACTGTGGTTGGGGATGGATGAACAACACCCGCTATGTGTTCCATTTGGAATAAAGATTAGGAGACTCCTTTTACATACAATGAAACAAGGATGGAATAATGTTCAAAAGAAAGAATGGTGGATTGTAATGCCTAGATATGCGAAAGGACTTGAAGTTATAGATTCTTGCAAGTAATTTTGTAAAAGTGAAGGGAAAATGATTTCCAGTATTCGTTTTCATGCACACTTCTATGTTTTCTATTTTCACAAGTCATTTTCTTTAATATTTTCTACCTAATTGAACAGACACAAGGGATTGAATTTACATGTGGTATGGCACAGACGCAATTCCTGCAAACATGTAAAATGCACACTGAACCAAGTATGAAAAGCAGAAAAGGTAATGCCATAGGTGTGAGACTCAAGTACTCAACCATGTCCATTAAACCTATACTTCAAACATCAACGACAATATAATATTCTATCTAGTTGAGTAGTTTCATCAAGCATTCACTTATTAAATTATTATATTCTTTAAGGAGTAGGAATGTTAAACACGAAGAATAGTTTTTGATGATTTTATGGATATAATTCACTTATGAAAATTATGGAAAATGTGTTTCTCTAATTAATGGTTAACATAATTAAGGGCTGTTGTTAGCAAAACCCAAAAAGAAGGATGACTCATCATCCCTGAAAAGCCCCGAATCAAACGAACAGTTATCTGGGAGGGTGAAAATTGAACTTTGATCATACACCGATGGAAAGAAAGTGGGATTTCATCTCAAGTCTTTACTTGGAATTGAATTCGGGACCTCTCCCTTGTGTTACCTCTTCCTACCAAGTGAGCTAAGCCCCTGGTGCTGTTAGCAAAACCCAATTACAGAGTAGAAGTAGCAATAGTAAAATAACAATATAATTATTATTATTATTATAGTAATAAAAATAGTAATAATAATAAATAGTACTGACACTTGCATAAATGGTAGCATTAAAAGAACCTACATATCTCGAGCAAGGCTTAAGGCTTTCAAGTTTAACATAAGAAACCAATTTCCTAGACATATTCACCTGGAACCTCCATCATGAGCATGTCGAGAAATATGAATCTTTTACTATCCCTGTACGCACCTAAGTTGCAACCCTGTGACGCGAAATGGTAATTAGTCGATTATACAAAAAGGAACTTGATAAGATTGGTTTCAAATAAACATGAATCAACTTGAGCATAGCATAGTAATGAGGAACAACCATTTTACGGAGGATGCGATCGTATTGAGAAAAAGGCTGCGCCAAGGCAAGGAAAACGACGACGTTGGATGAGTTAGGAGAGAGAGAGCGTTTGATAAAGTGGTGGAGCAGGAATCCGCCGTTAGTCTCCACGCAGTCCCCAATCACTACAACACGGCCGCGCATTGTGGAACCAGCAACTATGTCTTCGCCGATGAGGGCTTCCTCTAGCAGATTTGTTGATGATGTATTCATCGTTGACAAGGGTTAAGCGACGGGTGAGTGACTGGATGTGGAGGTTTAAGCTAGGGTTCTCTGTTGAGTTTAAGGTGTGTTTGGTTCGACGGAGGGAATGGGAAGGATACAGCATAGTGGATTAGAGGGGCAGGGACATATGGGACAAGAGGAATCTCAAAAATTTTCTAAAAGAACTGATTCTATGAGTAAATTAGAGCACCTGTATCATTTTTGCACTTTTATCCAAACACTTCAACTTCTGTTTCTGCTCCCTGAAAGAGTAGGAACAGATTTAAGAATCAAATCCAAACAACCCCTAAGAGTCTTTGCTAGTTCACTAGAAGTTTGAAACCAGACCGAAGTATAGTTTAATTATTTATTTTTATACTACTATAGTTTATCTAAAATTTACTCCCCCGTCCCACAGTTAAAGTCACATTTTGACTTTTGCAGTCTCTTAGGCGGACGTTTGACCGTAACAATTTATTAATACGGAGTATATACCTATAGATTCTATAATAATTTGACATTTGAATGATATTATTACAACGAAGCACATTAAATAGTTTTTTTGGGACAAAACTTTTGAGAAATAAGTGGTCGAAGTTTAACAACTTTGACTTAAAAAGTCAACCCGTGACTTTAATTAAGGACTAATGTAGTACTCCGTATTGATTATGAAATATGAAAATTAGTAAATTGTGTGAATTTTTGGAGGATGGTTAAACTTTAATTTTCTCTTAAACGCTTGAAAAAAGGGGCATAGTTATTTGCTATTAGTATGACATGGTATCATCCCGTTTGAAAATGGAATCGTACCAAACGGGTTTAGATCTAAGACAGAACCGGATTGAACCGTTTGATAGTCACAGTACGGGTACTGTTCAGTGAAATATTGAAGCGGGCTGTGCCCACCCCTACCGGAAGTGTTTCGCAAAAATTGAAAAAACAGTCGTTTCTAAAACATGTGAATGTTGTATGATGGGGTATCTGAAATTAATCTTGCATCTACTTCTTTTTTAAAAGTAGAATCAGAATCAGAATCAACTTTTAAGATTTTAGTCTTCCCTAACTTCTTAAAAATGCATCGAGGAGTAATTTGGAGCACCCAGAAGTTCTTCTGCACTTTCATCCAAACATTATGATATCTGAACACACCCTAATTGTTAAACTGGTTTTTATTTTTCTTTTTTTATCAAATAATATCAATTTTATTTTTGAAAATCGTTTTCTTTTCAAATATATCAACTTTTAAAATGGAAATAATAGCAAATACTACAACACATATATTTCTTGATTCTTGCTGGCATGAAACCTACTCAAATTGACTAAGAAGTAAAAGTAATGTGATTAAAAATGGTAAATGTGAGGAGAATTTTTTTAAATGCATATTTATTAATCTTGTGTCTTATAAAAATTTATCAACTTTTCATATTTTGGCATCTAAACATATCTATTATTTTCATTTAAATCAATAAATATATAATTTAAGTAGCTTTCTCTTATGTATAATACTAGTATTTATTTTATCAACTTTTCATATTTGTTTATATTTGTTGCATTCTGTGTGTTGCTTTTTGTTGAATCGTGTTATTTTTTGTTGCATGACGTTTTTTGTTGCATTGTTGGTGTTACTTTTATTGTTTATTGTGGATTTGACTTTTTATTTATTGTTTGTTTATGTTTCCATCGACCTATGCTACTTCTTTGGAATAAAAAAATAGATACCTTCTATTATACAAAAGTAGGAGAAATTTTGCACAGTATTCCCGCTCAAAAACATCACATCGATGGGTTCGGGTCGGGTCTTCAAGTGCTGGGCTCGGATTGTCCATGGGTTCAGAAACAGGCCAGAGTTCAGCACATTTCAGACCATTTTAATGCTGGTACAGTAACAAATCTTGAGCCACAAAAATATGTACTTTTAAATCAGGAGAAAAGCAAATAAAATCTCCACACAACCTTGAGCCACAAAAACATTAATTGAATTGTACTGTGATTAGACGGTTTTGTGGCTCTCACCCCCATTACGAAATAAGCTAATTTGAGGATTAAATAAATGGTGTAAATTGTACTTCAAAAATCTTTGAAAGTAAAAAAAAAATCCCAGAGCAAGTCTTGAGCCACACAAACATTAAATGCACTATACTATCTTTACATTACAGAAAAGGATTTTGTACGCCACAAGCCCGATTTAAAGATTGTCCATGGGTTCAGAAACAGGCCAGAGTTCAGCACAATGCAGTTTTAATGCTGGTATAGTAACCAATGTCTCCAGTTCGCATGCTTGCTGCTTTTATTAAGAAAATATACAGTTTGTACTTTTGAATCAGTAGAAAAGCAAATAAAATCTCCACACAATCTTGAGCCACAAAAACATTAATTGAATTGTACTATGATTAGACTGTTTTTGTACGTCTCACCCCATTTCGAAATAAGCTAATTTGAGTATTAAATAAATGGTGTAAATTGTACTTTAAAAATCTTTGAAAGTACAAAAAAAATCCCAGAGCAAGTCTTGAGCCACACAAACATTAATTGCACTGTACTATCTTTACATTACACCACAATCCCAATTTAAAGATTAACTGGGAAAATATCCCTTGGTTAATACCCCTTTGGCAGAAACTGTTCTCTTCCCGGGCACTATAAATACCCAAGTGAAGGATTTTCTAGACACACCACAAACGAACAATTCCATATTTAGAGTTTAAACTAAACAATGGCAGGTTCATCTACAACGGGGATGTGGTCTATGATCAAGGACATTGATCACACCAAGTCTACCTGGGCTCTGAAGGTTAGGGTTGTAAGGGCTTATGAGGTGCCTCCTCACTCAAAAGGAGGGGAGACCCTCGAGATGGTTTTGCATGACGCCGAGGTACAATTTATACTTCTATGAAAAATATTTTATATGATAAAACGTTCGTTGTTAACTTTTGAATCTGTAAAATAGGGAGATCGGATTCATGCAATAATCAAGAGACCACAGATTGCCATGTACAAGACTATAATAACTGAGCACAAGATCTATGCTATAAGGAACTTCTTAGTTCTAGACAATTACCAAACAGTGAAGACCACAAATCATCCCTACCTGATTCAGTTCATCTCTAAAACCCAATTCCGGGAGGATACGAAGACAGAATTGCCTATGATGGTCTACGATTTCCAACCTTTCGATATGCTGCACGCCCAAAGGGTTATCAACGACAAAACTCTTATTGGTGTGTAAAATCAAATTATAGACCTAACTAAATAACTTATGGAACTATGCTAACAACAGTTTCCATTCCACTGTTTCAGATATCATTGGGAAGGTTATCAATAAAAGCATTGTTCAAACCCATATCATCAATGGGAAGACAGAAAGGCTAATGGAGCTAACTGTGGCAGACCCAGAGTATTTTTTTTTCATTTAGAAATGTTATGGGTACGAAAATAATTTGTTAAGCTAATGGCTAAAATCTTTTTGAAATTACAGGGGAAACAGACTAGGCTGTGTTCTATGGAACAAGTATATAAACCAGTATCAGGATTATGTTAATGAGAACCCTGGAATTGCTGTTTTTGTGATATTTCAACTGTGTAGACCCAAAAGATATCAAGGTATTACAACATCTAATTTTGCTATGAACTAACATCAACGTGTCATCAACTGTTGCCTAACAATGTTATTTACAAGCAGGCACCCTAAGTGTGGCTTCATCTTTTGATGTGTCCAAACTCATCATCAATGGAAACACAACCGAATTCTTAGAGTTCCAGAGCGAGTGCGATTCATAAAATTTTTGACTTATAATTATCTAATCTCATAATAATAGTAAGTTTTAAAAAATAATAACTTACTTTGCACGATGAAACAAATAATAGATTTCCGGCGGATGGTGATGACTCCATATCTCAAACATGCAACACAAACTGCTCACAAGGTGAAGGGAGTAGGGATGTGCTTAGTGGTCATGCTGTCATAACCACTATGGAGGATTTGATGAATGCAACTGAGGTAAATATGTGTTAGAGGGATTTTTGTAAGCAGCATTTGTAATTGGTTGTAATCATTGTGTGTCAAAAACATTTTGAATGAATAGGAGGAGATTTACATGGTGCTTGGTGAGATAGTTTCTATCGAAAATACTCGGGAGTGGTGCTACCTAAGCTGCCCAACATGTCACAAAAAATTGGTACCGGAGGAGGAGAGGTCCAGGTGTTCTACTTGCAGTGTGACACTAGGAGAAGGAGTCTACCGGTACTATAATATCACCTTATTTGATGCCGGAGATAATGTTGTTGGGGTTAATGTATTGTTTTACAAATATGAATTTCAAATAAACTAACACATCATGGACCTGATAATGATTAAGTTACAAGGTCAGTGTGTGCATCATGGACAACACCGGGCACGGAAATTTTATTCTATGGGATAGGGAATGTATTGAGATTCTGGGGAAAACTTCTGCATCCCTAATGGCTGAGGTCGAAAAGGTAACATCTATATTGTATTCACGGCAATTTTATTCTATGTAGACCACTCATTCTATTTCATAATGCAACTTGGCAAAAAAACAGAAAACAGGTGATCCAACCCATTTTCCAGAAGATATTGAAAGCTTGATTGACAAAAAGGGAATATTCAAAATACAGCTAAAGAAGAGAGGTGAAGAGAATGCCTATAAAGGTAGTGTTTCCCTTGGAGTTGTTAGTATGATTCGAGATCCTAATGTGCTGGCAATGTATGAAGGAAATCATGAGCAATTGGTATCAAATGAAAGCCATGAGTGTACTCCAGAGAAGGTATTTGAAAAAAATCTTTAATCTTTAATAGTTCATTTTCAGCTTAGATCTAAAGATGATGCCTAGAGTGAACCTTTCTATTTCAGATTGGTTCATGTTCAAACTTGGAAGGAAACGACAACTCGATAAGAGAGAAGTCTTCTGTTACTAAGGGCAAGGGAAAACGGATTTCAGCTGAGAAGGAGGTAAAATGCTCATAAACCTAACAGGTTTATAATGGTTTGAATTACGAAATTCTGAAAATGGAGTTTCTTTCTATTCATACTAGGTTACTGCCCCCATTGAGCTCTCAGATTCGCCTGTTGCTTCTACACAAAGAGAGGTGATTGTTGAATTGGATGACGAGATAAAAAGGAATCTCAATGATGAGTTTTCAGGCAATGGGAATGGAAAGAAGCTGAAGATTAAAATCAAGCAGGAAAAACTGTAATCGGGTTTGCAAAGAAGTGAAGATAACGTTTCGATGTTTTTGTGGAAACAACTAATGCGGTGTTGGTTTTTTTGGAAAACTGTATCAAGGGGCCGTATGTATTTTGGAAGTGAAACACTATGTGTGACAGACTTTAAATAACCTATATTATGTCTGTAGTGTGGTGTGCTAATTTGATGATGCTATGTTGTGGACGTATTATACCTTGGTCCTCTAAAGATTGTGTATTTCTTGAGCAATTGCAGGTTTTCTACAGAGAGAAGACATTGCTAACTTTAAGGGATGTCTTTACACATAATTCATATTGGCAAGTTTTATAAAATAATTTTATAATGACACTGACACACTTATAAATGATTTGCAGGTGAAAAAAAGTTTTAGGCGTGTGGAGACTCCTAAATGAAGGCAACAAGTTTCTAACTACGGAGTATGTTTTGAAGTATTAGGAAACTTAAAATTTTGTAACTATGTTCATTCTGGAATGAGAGGTGTATTTATTTGATTTCAAAAGTTTTAGGCGTGTGGAGACTCCTAAATGAAGGCAACAAGTTTCTAACTACGGAGTATGTTTTGAAGTATTAGGAAACTTAAAATTTTGTAACTATGTTCATTCTTGAATGAGAGGTGTATTTATTTGATTTCAAAAGTGTATTCATTGGATTTCAAAGCTAAATTTGTATTGTTTATTGTAGAAGTTAATACATTTGCTATGATTGAAAATAAGAATTGGTTTTCTAATATTTCCAAATCTAAATGGAAGTGAAACTACAGACAGCCTACAAACAATGAGAGTTGAAAATAGGGCCAATAAGGAGAGGTAAAGTGACATACCTGAGCAATTGGTATGGTTGATGAAACCTGCAATCCCTAATTTTAACTAAATAATATTACAGACCTTTTTGAATGTTTACATAAATGGCAACCTTCTAAGGTTCCAGAACTATTTCTATTACATTTTTCTACATGGCAGTCATTGAAATACCTTTCAACTTGAAAATTACACCTGCAAGAATTTAGGTATAAAGAAGTCAGTATAGAGAGTCATTATATCCAATTAACTAATTCTCATAGAACTTCAACAATCTGCAGATTAATCATAAGATTTAAACAAAGTTTTAATTTTAACCAATCTGTTAAAAAACAACAACTTTGTATTTCAAACAATCATTTGGTTATTGTATAACATCAATGTACTAAATAATTATATTTATCATTGACATAATAAGCATCTATATACGTAGTATGTCTTATATATATGATTTGGGTATAATAAAAGATGTTTGCTCAAGAAATTATATTTCAAGTGCAGTTGCTTTATACCACACTTGAAGATTTAACCAATGTACTTCACTTGAAACTTCTCAAACCAATCATTTCTTGAAATGGACTTTTATGTTGTTGCTAGAAAAGAAATGAGGTATATATATTTTGAAATCAAGGAAGGAGAATTAACGGAGTCATAATTAAGTAGAGAACACTTATTGAAGCACGTAAACATGATTTCTGTTAAAATTCGTGAAGTACATGGTTACAAAAGCAGCTGTTGAGCAGTTTTTTTGGCCTAGATATGCGGGCGCAGGCATCCAATTGATTTGAAATGCCAAGCTTTTCCAATTAATAGTTATTCATAGGCCATATAAGAGTTTGAAGGTAAAAAGGTTTATTCAAAGTAATATTCTTACAAAAAAACGTAGATTGAATCATTTGGTTATAACCAATCTGTTAAATCATAAAGATTTAAATGAAGTTATTGATTTAAACCAAACTGTTAAAAATCAGCAACATCGTATTTAAAACAATCATATGGTTATTGTGAAGCATCAATGTACGTAATAGTTGGCAAATCATTTGACATAATAAACATAATTTATACATAGAATGTCCCGTATATATGATTTTTGTATAATAAAAGATGTTTGCTCAAAAAATTAAATTTCAAGTGCAGTTGCTCTTTTGTAAAAGGAATACTCCGTATTTAGAATTAACCACTAAGAAGTAGTAATATATAGTGACTTACTGTGTTTAGGAGTACACAGTGATAAGAAAGACATTAAATACATACCAGTTCACTATCAAATCAGAGGAAATAGGATGACAGCTAGGTTTGCTCGCATTAAATGAACCAACCTGCAGGATCCCAATACTAGGATGGCGTGTAGGTCTGCTCATTAAATGAGCACAAGCAGCAGGTACATATCACAATTAATAACAAATATTACTTACCAGTGGTCAATAACCATTTCTGCAGTCTGGGTGCATATATACCATTGTAAATGCATTAACTCCCTACTCAGAAACTCATTTACTCAGCTCAACCATATCATCTAAACAAAGCAGGCTGCCACTGTTTCCAGTATAAAGTCTGAGCATTGATATTTCTACACAAACCTAAGGTATGTTTTCTACTATGGTTTTGAATGACAAAATGATCTACAAATGATATAAGTACCAGTGAAATCTTTTTTATGCTAAACATAATGAAAAAAATTGAAATCAGTTTTAATACTTTTATTTTCTAAAAAACTTAATGACAAAAATTGAACTTTGTTGTTTAAGATGAGGTGTTGTTCATGTTCAAAATGCAATGCTCCAAAATGTCATGCATGTGGAAAACACCCGGGGCTGTTTTGGTTGGTACCATGCTATTGGTGTAATAAAAATTTAGGTCACTTTTACTGCATGAGGCCTCTAAACAAGAAAAGGTATACTGGGAATTACATATGCCAACAATGTCAACAATGCCTAGATGCAGACCCTATAATACCTAGAAGATCAGGTCGGTATGTAACACTCAACTACAAGTACTTCAATGAAAATGTCACTGTGGGGATGAGTTTTGGTTGGCTTAAAATGGCATGACTGTATTCATGCATACTATGTACATGAAATATGCTTATGGTTTTTGTGGGATATGTAAGAGCCAAGCTGTTTTGTTTTTTGCAAATTGTGTGACATTTATGATCTCAAATAATCCTAGGCCATGTTTGTATTCTATGTAATGATTGTAATGTAATGTTATGTTGATGGTTGTATGCATATGCTTTTTTGAAGAAACACAACTGAAGAATGGTTTGATGAATATATAAGTTTATGCATTTCATAGGTTTTTCAGTACATGTTGAAATCCAAACTATATGGAATGCAAAGATGTTTTTGAAAAAATTGTAGAAATGTGAGGTTTTATTTACTTTACATTACTGGAATGTATGGCAATGGGTTAGGTTACATGTATTAAGGCCATATATGACTGCCAGACCCACCGTACAGTACTGTTAGTCCCTGTTTCTGTAACAACAATGAATAATCGATCTAACAAGGAAGATTAAACGTAAAGATGAACACAGAATGAATCACCGTAAAACCTTCTTTGATAAACCGTGGAAGCGTACAACAGAATGATATGCGTAAGGCTATGAATAATAAGTACGACGTTCAACCTTTTCCTAAACCTCGGCTCCCTTTTTATAGGCGAGGTTTAGGTTAGGCGTACCAGGCTTTTGGCCTGTTTAAATGGGCCTAACACTTGGCCTGATTTCTATCTAATTTATGCACTAATTAAATACAAGGATTAAATATAAAGCTAATCTATGACCAACTTGATTCACAATTAAATATCTCCAACAATCTCCCCCTTTGTGATCAAGTGTCATTCTCTTATTGCTTCTGAGACTTGAAGTAGTGCTTCCTCATACCAAGTGCATGTTCATACTGCCTCAGCACATTTCTCTTTTCGAGGCGATCGTCAATGGTCTTTAAAATTGTCTCTACAGTAGAGTGTTCCTTTTGAACATAAGACGATGCCTCTTGAAGTTTTTCCTCTAGCTTTGCCTTCATCTTTAGAATCTGCTCTTTGATTATCTTCAGTGTTCCGTCGCAGTACTTCTCAATCTCACTGACTACCATCAGACGCTTTTCGTTCTTGTGGTTCAGATAGGTGACTGCTGGCGGTGTGAAGAAGATGTGGTAGGCTGGGAAATCTTCAAGTTCTGGACCATACAGTCTTGGCTTTGTCAGATTTGTCTTCTTCAGATTGCATTCAATAGCCATCTGTAGGTCATGTGAAGAGTGTACTCAGATCTGTCTAAGCATGAATCTCTTGATAGCTGCGAGGCCTTCGCTGTATACTATGCTCTGCCTGACTGGAAGGTATCTGTAGGCCATGAACATTTGGTAGATGTCATCCGGTTTCAGCATGATGAAGTCATTCTCTTGGCAAGTGAATTCGCTCCCATCGGTGCGTTGAAGTCTGTAAGTGTAGAATGTTACTCCATGATAGTCTTCAGCCTTCACTTGTAGAATTTGATAAATCGGGAGAATATTCGACTTCAGATCTTGTTCCATTAGTTCTCTCTGAGTACCGGTTGACCTTTGTAGCAACATATGCAGATGACCTCCAGCCTGCTTTCCTTTCAAGTGAGTAAGGCCTCTTAGCTTCAGTTCATTCAGTGGCTTGACTCTGTCTGGTCTACGCCAGATATGCTCTCTGATTTCTTCTTGGAAGGGGGCTTTGATACGAACATTATCCCAGGGTTTCTCTGTCTTGGGAAGTCTTCCCGCTGTTTGTCTTACGACCGATTCAAGAGTCTTCTGGGATTCTTTGTAATTCTCCCCTTCCTTGCGTTCATCGTCCTCGAGCCTTATAATATCTTCAGAGCATTTGTTGATTAGCTCTCGTAGCCACCAGTTTCTTTGCATGTCCTCTTGCTCGGCTTCAACCCGAAGATCATCCCATTCTGTCCATTTTCTTGGCCATTTGTCGTATATCACCGCCTCTTCCGGTGCATCATGGATGTCTTTGCCTGGGGAAATATATGGAATTCTTTGTTCAGGCGGTGATTGTTCCTGTGTAGCACTACCGGGTTCACTAGGATTGCCCGTTGACATCAGCTTAGAACTGGGTTCCAACTGATGGCCTGATGGAGAAGATGTACCAGTGGTAACATCATCAGGACTTCCATCCCCTCCTCGGTTGGTATCTCTGGGAGATACGCCTCGGGA